TCGTCATCGTCGTCGTCGTCATCGTCATCATCATCATCATCATCGTCATCATCATCATCATCATCATTGTGTGGGTTGCAGATGATCCTGGATTTGGATTCCAGTTGGAACAACACACACAGATTTAAGTGTAAAATTTTAATATGAATGAGATTTTAACATTTTATGTGCTGAAATTACTGAATAAAAACCATTTAATTCCCAGTCTAAACAGAAAAGTTTTGTTTTCTTTTATATTTCAGCAAGTTTTCTGTTAATTTGCATTGTGCTTGTGTGCCTTGTGATTTTTATCCAGAGAGACGCCATATGTAAAACAGGATATGGGTTTTCTTCTACACATATTTACGTATCCTCATTGCTGTTTGGCTCCTTTTCCTCTCTTTTCACTCATGCTTTTTTTCTTTAATATTTTAATGAGATCTCAGCCTCAAATGAAGAGTCCATATCAATTAATTCCAACTGAATAATTATTTTTTAAAGCATGACCTCGACAAAATCAAGAAACTACAAAGTCACAACATCAAAAATCCGTGTACAAGGCATACTTAAAGCAGAAACTGCAGCAAAAATGGAAAATGCATTTATTTATTTATTTGTTTGTTTGTTTATTCATTTATTTCAAACTGCAGAGTTGCTGACTGAGCTACTTCCTCCCTTAGTGTTCAGATTTCTGATCCAGACGACCAGCATATTAGATGCAAGCCCAACCAACATAAACACAAAAACTTCAGTTTCAGAAGTGGTCCGTCTATTCTCCCTGCTCCAACACACCTGGTTTGAATTTCTTCCTCTTTACATCCTTGAGATGATGAAACCAGGAGATCAGCCATTAATCAAACTGGAAGCGTAAAAACACCTCAAACCTGCATGATAGTAACCCTGGAGGACCAGGATTGGACACCTTTTAGTAAAAGCATCCTCTCATGGTTGTTGCTGGTTTCCTGTTGATTGACTCTGCTGCCACCTGGAGGACTGATGTTGGTTTCCACAGCAACCCGTCACATTTCCTCTGCCTCCTTCAGGTGTATCTTATGTTAGAGTCAGAGTACTCAGCTTTCACCATGATTTGCACTCTGGTACTTATCCTTCGAATATTGACAAATTCCTAAATCAAGACTCACTTTCAGGCTCCTGTCGGTGATGTGGTGACAAGTTGCCATGGAGATAAATATCCTGTCACTGTGTGACGTATAATGAAGGCTTGGTTAATTTGGTAGAGGAGGGAGGAAATGACGGGTGTGGGTTTATTTTATTGAATGATCGTTGCTCACATTGTTATCTCGCTGGTTGATGATTTTCACTCTTTCTAATCTCCTATGATTCCTGTGTTTTTTTGGGGATTTAAGTCAAATTTAAAACATTTTCATTTGCAGCTTTTTGTTTAACTATTACAATTTGCAGATTCTTACAGAATGGAGCTCCAGACTGCAGGAAGTAATGCCAAAATCAAAAGTGGGTCTGTAGTTAATTATCTCCAAACTTACTGACAATGAGACATTTTTCCAACATTATATCATCTTTCTGTTTCCCTGGGGCACACAGATGATTGTCTATTTTTATATCATAACAATCCTTCTGCAGGTATGGTCTTGCAAGGCCATTCAGCCAGACCACCTTCTTTAAGAAAGCATTTAGAAATGTGCTTTTTTGCACCAAAAGCAAAATTTACTTTGGCCAGGGTCAGTTTGATTTTCATTACGTCTTTTACATTGACTAAAAAAATCAAATTTGTTTCAGTTAAATGTTAAAGAAAAGTGTCATTTTCCATTTCAGGGGAAAAATCTTTCAGAAATGTTACTTCTTATGTATTTTATTTTGCACGCACGCACGCATGCACACACACACACTCACTCACACGGACACAACACACGCACACGCACACATACAGATGCACACGCACGCACACTTATTTCCCACTTTGCCTTTGCTGGGACCATCAGAGTGCTGACGATCTGTCATCTCAACAATCGTTGCACTAACGAGGCTCCATCCTTAAAAATAATCTGAGTATTTCCTGTTGCCCTTAGATGCACTGACATCGTGGTGTCATGGCAACAACAACACACATCCTCTTCAATCAGGGAAAAACAAACAGACAGGCACACGTCGTTTGAGCTCCTGACTTGTGTTTCGCTGATGATAATTAAACAGAATTTTGTGCTGTTTTTGTTTATTCTGCACATGCAAAGATAAATCTTTCCGTGTCCACTTACAGTGGAAATATGATGGCACTAGTTTGCATAATGTAGGGCTCATCTGCAAAGTAAAATAATATGTAAAGTGAGGAGATGAATTCTGACCACATCTGAACCTTTTCCCATCCTATTGTACGTATAAAACAATAGAGAAAGAAGGTTCACTTGTGGTCAAATGTGCTCACTATGATGACGAGGATGGAACAGGAGGAGTGATTCTTTTTTCTCCTTTTTTAAACTATCATAATCATTGAGAATGGCAATGAAACATGTTTTATCACATCATTAGATCGTTTTCCTGCCCTGTTTATTTTAGCTCGTCATATTTCAGGTGCTTTGGCGTTTGGGCGCTTATTTGAATTCATGGATGTGGTCTGGGAATCTCAACCACAGGGTGTAACCCTCATTTGGGAGCCTTGACTTTTCCCTCCACCACTTGAAAGCAGAGCAGCAGGCCTTCAGATCCGACCCTCTTAAGATTCAGGGCTTTTATACCGTTTCTAAAATGGTAATCATTATGCCTGTAATCAACGGCTGTTTCATTTGTGTGACTTTTAGCTAGGCCTCCTGTCTTTTTCATGCAAAATATAATTTTTGAACTATTCACTCTCCAAGCGTTGCTCTGGCTATTAATTATGTTACTGTATTAACAGATATTGAAAATCGTATGTAAAACCACCGCAGCTCATGGATTTATAATATGGTTATAAAAATAATCAGCTGTTTTTTGTATTATTTTGCTGCAGAGTCACAAAACAAACGTTGACATCTAATTGCAGCTGATTTGCCTAAGTTGTAATAATGCTGTCTGCACAACTGGATTGTCCATGTACAGCAACATATGAGATGCAAGATATAAGAGTTTAGAGTATAGAATAAACTTTATTGATCGAACAGGAGGAAATTCGCTTGTTACAGCAGCACCAACACTTAAGAGAATAATTGAAGAAAAATAAAAAAGGTTCAGTGATTTTCAGGGTTTCAGGTGATGTTTCCTTCCAGATAATGTCTTGTCTGTTTTCTCTGTGCATTGCCAAACCTCATTCTGCTCACTTCAACATGATTGCTGCAAAGATATGATGTTCAGGTGTAATGATGCATCTCAAATTGGCCAGTCCCCAAAAAATTCTAAGCATTTTTTGGAACCTGGAATGTTCCATTTGCGTCATGTTGTGTTAGTGCCTCAGTGGTGGTGCAAAATATGTTACATCCTTCCATCCATCAATAAAAACATTGTTGGCTTTTCTTTGTAACTCTGGAAATGTTGTAGCTTTCTAGCTTAGCTGCATTTCTGGGTAGTGAATAATTTGCATCAAACAACTTTCACTTTCCATTTGTCTGGTTTGTGTAGAGTTTATATCCAGGTTTTTAAATATTTCTCTGGATTTGTTTGTAAATTATTTATCATCAATTGACTAGTTTATTATTAATTTATGATTTATTTTCTATAGAATAGAACAGAATAGAACAGAATAGAATAGAATAGAATATTTCCTTTATCGTCCCTCAGTGGGGAATTGTTGATGTAACAGCAGCTAAGTAGATTCAACAAGAATAAATGACTGTACAGTGAATAATATATACGTTTAATATACACTTAAAAATGTAAAAGACTGCAGCAGAATAATGTGTTCAACAGTCTATAATATGCAAATTATTGATCTAGTTTGTTTTTGTTTTAAAAGTTGTATTATAATGTCTAGTTTACTTATTGTTGTGTCTATTTTGATAATTGTTTATCATTAGTTTAGTTTATGATGAATATTGTTTATTATTTAGTTTAGTTTGATAATTGTTTCCAGTTTATTGTTTACACTACTTTGTTTATCTGTTATCTAGTTTCTTATACCCTGGGAGATGAAAACACAATTTCATAACTGTTCAGAAATAAAAATTTGACAGAACAACAATTTTTAAAAATCAATTCTCAAATCATTCTTCATGAATGCAATTCATGTCCAGTGAGCAAATTAACAAACAAACAAACAATAAATAAATTGTTTTTTTTTTCATTTCTTGTACAGCTGCATTGTTATAACAGATTAGGTATAATGCTGGATTTACTTTAGCCCATAACACATTAAAAACAGAATATGTGCTGATAGTTAAACATCAAGGTTAAGATTGACTTTTATAAAACATTTTATAAAGTTATTAGTTGACAAAATTCGCTCCATACAGTAAAAACTCAAAAACAAGCATTTCTCTCCCTCAGTTTTTTTTATTTCTGTCACACCTGTCCTGGTGTGACAGAAATTTGTACTCAATATTAAATTACCTTTTAATGTTTTATTATAATAAACATTTCTAAATAAAACATTCGATTGTTGAGAATCAGGGTACAAATAGAGGCTTCCAGGGGAGCCCAGTATTTTGCCTTGGCCCTCAAAATGCCTTGAAACGGCCCTGGGTGTGGGACTGTTTTGAAGGTGATCTGAATTGTATCACATGTATAAATATTAGCCTACTACATGCTTATAAATGATTGCTTTATACAGGTAAAAATGTGTAGGGGGGGATAATAGCTACATTATCTTTTTCAAGCACTTTGTTTAGTTTTCTTGTTTTTATTTTTTATTTTTCTGTCTTTGGGGCCCCCCTGGATGTGTAAGTGGAGGGCCCTTTCTGCTCTCCTGTAAATTAAACCCTGTCGAGAATAATTCAGTATAGTTTTCATTCGTGAAGTGTATTTTTAATCACACAAACACTTTTATATTTGTTTCAGTTTTTCCACATTATTTTTGAGGATCCATTTTTCTTTTTTCCTTTTTTTTCAGTTGAAAGCTTGTTGCTGTGAGGCGCATGCGCAGTTGATAGGTATGTGGAAAGAGCAGGAAACATTTTAGAGTCCGTCACAACAATTTGTTCTTTGGTCGGTTCGTTGTGAATAACCGAATCCGATTGACTGAATCAAGGATTATCGCGCCGACTGAACGAGCAGTTATCATTAATACCTATTTTGGCTTTAATATTTAAAAATTTAGTTTTTTAAATCGGAAAACCGTGACTGCGAGGTTTGGGCGTGTTTGAATCTCAAGTGCTGAAGAGACTGACTGCCTCCTCCTCCTCACTACTGGATGCTAGCGCGATAGCCTCTGCATGTCGTTGCAGTCGTAGTTAAAGTTGTGTTATAGTCTGCGGTTCTTTTATTTATTCGGAGGCCAAGAGAGAAAAAGATGGGATGTACGCTAAGCACGGACGACAAGGCGGCGCAGGAGAGAAGCAAGATGATCGACAGGAACCTGCGAGACGACGGAGAAAAGGCAGCTCGAGAGGTCAAGCTGCTCCTGCTCGGTAAGAAAGATGGGTGGAAACAAGGGTCGGTGTAGTTTCTAGAGTAAGACCTCACTCCCTCATTCAGAATGCGGTACTTCGTACGAAGGCCGTCTCATATCAAGGTTTTATCTGGATGTCGATTAAGCAAACAAGAAATGGTGCTGGTGACATTTTGTGCCTTATTTGAACAGCTCAGTCGATGTACAGTTAACAGTTGTTGTGCCGAAAACTGTACCCCCTGTTTAAAAGCCCCTCACAAACCATAACACTTGACTTGCTAAAATTTATGCCATAATTTTATTAAGAATGTTGCTAGTCAGTTCCTTATTTTTAACTCTATTTTTTAGTGAACAAACTGTATTAAAGGGGGTTGCTTTCCTCGCCAGGGGTGCATTTTTCATCATAGCATCTGCTATGGTGCAGTTAGCCAACAAAAGTTAGAGCTATTGCTGTTTCTGTGTTTTATTTCTGTTCATCCCGATCAAATCAAAACCATTACAAACTGTGAGTTAGTCAGTCTTGGTCATTTACGCATCTCGCTCGGGTTAGTCCTCCAGTAAATCTGTAAGCTAATTTACCTAAACAAATTAGCCGATTAGCTACTTTAGCAGCTCTGCGTTAGCATGGATTAGTTTAGATTCCACAAAGCGAGCTGTTTTCTTTCAACAGGTCAGAAAGCTTAAGTCCCCGCACTGCTATTTAACTACACTCATCTGTAATAAACACAGCTATAGCGTGAAACTAGCCGTTCATCACATTAAATCTTCAACGATGGCCTTTAGGCCCGTTGAGTTCTCATAATGCACAAGTAAACATTAAATCAGTTTTTTATTGATGGTATGTTCACGACGTAATCAGCGACGTGTCAGTGATGACTGCTTGATGTTTTAATAAGATTAGATTGTCTCAACAATGCTGCTGAACAAGTAAATTAAAGGAGAAGCCAACGAGAGCACCCTTTAAATCATTTATGTATGTTTCTTTAGGTGGTTTTAATATTTCAGGGCAGGCTGCCTTCATCAGCAGCTCACTGATGGTGTCTTCGGTGTGGCTAAATGGGGTAGAGGTTGCATAGCAACTTTAGCATTCTGACTGATCGTAATATGTGTCTATGGCAACTTTTAGTCCCTCAACAAAGACCAATCACACCATGTCTGCCATGCAGAATGCAAGCTGGTTTTATTGCACCAGTTTTTTGTTGCATTTTCTTGTATTAGCTTTCATGCACTTTTTGTTTAACTGCAATAAGTTTGCAAGCATGAGTTTGGCAAATCATTCGATTTATTTTGTTTCCACATTTGTGACGTCTCTTATGTTCATATATCTATTTCCAATGGAAATACATGCTCCCACAACATTTGCTTCTTTGTTGGACTTCCCAGTTTAGAGGTTTGCAGCAATCACTTAATGACTTGCTCTCGCCACGATTGAGGGAGTTTCCTGGTGTGCTGAAACAATACAAATGATCACGTTTTGATTGCAGCGTCTTTGTGACAAAGCAGTCCACAGTGATACAGCGACAGTTTTTGGGCTTTACAGCCAATGTATTACCATTAAATATGTCTGTGGGATTGCATCCTGTTAAACCTATCGTCTGAAATCACTAACATTTCACTTTTTCTGTTATTTGCAAAAAAGGGGAAAAAATAACTTCTGTGCCCTTAAGATTTAACAACTTTGTGATTGCAATTAAATAGATCTTTCTTTGGTAGTAATACCTCAGTTGCATGAAGCTGTTGATCTTGTGGGACAATAAATTGCAAAACATTGCAACTCACCTGGGAACTGGGGGCCCCTACAGAGGCAGCGTAATTAAAATGTTGTGTGCTCAGCTCAAAACACTTTTGGATCTCAGAGGGAGCTGCAGGGCTTGTTGTATGTGAGATAGTGTACAAAACACTTTAATTGCAAGTCAGAAGTGGATGTCAGGGCTGCGCAGTTACCGTATGTCTTCTACATATTGATGATGCCTGTCAACCGTAAAGCTGCAGTAGTGGCCTGATTATTGTATTTTGATTCCAAAAAGGGCCCGTATGGGATCCATGTGAGCCCCATCTGTCTGATACAGCACAGGATTGTGTCCAGGGAAATGTAAGCTGTGTATAATCCTATTGACAGGAGGATCACTTTGATTAATCCAATTGCTCTGAGACTACTAAACGAGGCCTTCAATAGCTGTTCTCTGGAATGATGTGTTTGTTGATTTGACATCATTAACAACATTCTCAAAGAGCCTGTTTGGTTGAAATGATCAGATAAGGAAAAAAAAGGTTTGCTGAAGTAAAATTTAACAGTGCACAAATAACTGGAAGCACAAATCACAATGAGCCAGTACACCTTAACAGACAGGAGGCGTATTATCATCATGTTCAGTTATGATGTCGAGCAAGTTCTGATAGTTTTATCAACTTTTGAAGCCTCTTTTGGCAAATTGTTTTCTTTCAAAGGCAGCTGTTTCTGTGGCTCACTTCTGTAATGTTTGTGTTGTTGCAGAGAACAGATGGCAGCTGCACCTTTTTTATTTTATTAGATTATTTGATTTGAGTTGGAGTGCTGCAGGTTTTTGCAGCTCACTTAATCAGATGACATCACGAAGCTTATTATGTTTGTCACAGATTAGAAACTAAATAAGAGCACCACTAAATTTGATTTGGCACAGCCCAAAAAATAAAGAAGTTTAGCATTAATGTAATGGGTTTTGTATTTTCCTTATGATGTAGCCTAATTTTGTCTCTTTGTTTCAGGTGCTGGAGAGTCTGGGAAAAGTACAATTGTTAAACAGATGAAGTAAGTCTGAATAGTCAATTATTCTCCAAAGAGAATGATCTCGAAAAGTATTTTTGAGGTTTACTCGAGCTTCATAAAGACAACTTATTATGCTTGAAAGAGCTGCATCTTTCTTTCTCTAGATTGTCTCTAACTGATCAAAATGTCTAAAACAGGGAGAAAATTGTGGTGTTATGCAAAATAGTTTACAATTTCAATTGCAATCCTGACCTGAAAAAAAAATCTACTTTTAATTTAATGCTGTCTTGATAAATATGTATGCAAGTCTAATGTATACGAATCCAATAATGGCATAGATTATCCCAATCCGTGCAATTTACCTCTGCTGCCCCCAAGTGGTCAACAAAAGTATTACTCTTTAATCTCTGATTGAATAATCTTTAGTTAACTATTTATTTCATGTGTGTTGACATTAAGACACTTTGACTGTTTTTTTTTTTACTCTGTTCATTAAGAAGAAATCAGACTTTCTTTTTGTGTTCAGGATCATCCATGAGGCCGGCTACTCAGAGGAGGAGTGTAAGCAGTACAAGGCTGTGGTGTTCAGCAACACCATCCAGTCCATCATCGCTATCATCAGAGCTATGGGACGCCTTAAGATCGACTTTGCCGATGCCGGCAGAGCGGTGAGTTGAGTTTATGTAGTCAGTCGCCCTCTCATTTTTCTTACATGTAAAAGATACTATTTATTTTTTACAGTGTTAAATAATTACCAGATGTGTTTTTTCCTGCAAAAAAAGCCCTCTTTTTTTAAAATTAAGAGTGTTTTTCTATAGGATGACGCCCGGCAGCTGTTCGTCCTGGCGGGATCGGCAGAAGAGGGCTTTATGACCGCGGAGCTGGCCGGTTCCATCCAGCGTCTGTGGAAAGATGGAGGCGTTCAGGCCTGCTTCAGCCGCTCCAGGGAGTACCAGCTCAACGACTCTGCATCTTAGTGAGTTTGACACACAGAAGAACCGTTTTAACATGCATGCTTTATACCTGTTAATTATTTGTGTCTCTTGCTGTCCTGTTTTCTATTAAAGTTACCTAAATGACCTGGACAGGATATCCAACCCTTCTTACGTCCCTACCCAGCAGGATGTGTTGAGGACCAGAGTGAAGACTACGGGTATCGTGGAAACACACTTTACCTTTAAGGACCTGCACTTCAAGTGAGTACGACCACACACCAGAGCATTTCCAAACGCAACTCTGTTAGGTTCGGCCGTTTAACGTTGCATTTCTATGATCTCAGGATGTTTGACGTCGGTGGTCAGAGGTCCGAGAGGAAGAAGTGGATCCATTGTTTTGAGGGAGTCACCGCCATCATCTTCTGCGTGGCTCTGAGCGACTACGACCTGATGCTGGCTGAAGATGAAGAAATGGTAAGACCCGTCAGAGCCCACCCACTTGCTGCTGTTTGCTCCGTCACCAACGTGCTTCCCTCCTCTCGTTCAGAACCGAATGCACGAGAGCATGAAGCTGTTCGACTCCATCTGCAACAACAAGTGGTTTACAGACACCTCCATCATCCTGTTCCTCAACAAGAAAGATCTGTTTGAGGAGAAGATCAAGAAGAGCCCTCTTGTTATCTGCTACCCGGAATACGCAGGTGAGGGACTGACACAAGCGCTCGCATGCACAGCGATGCTCTCCATGCATGCTTCATATGTGGCTGTAGCAGATAAAGCCCTGAACGAAATGGCTGAAGTTTGAACAAGAACACATCCAGATCTTTGATGATGTTCTCTCAGATCCTTAATGATTCTTTTAACACCTTGTCTCACATTAAATCCTCTTGTTTTAAAAGCATTCAGCCCACTGGAAACCCGAAGATAATACACGACACAAAGAGCTTGTTTTATCCTGCTCTTGGGTTTGGAGCGACTGCTCAGAAGCAAGGTCATCTAATAAATACCTTCTTCCTTTTTGTCTGTCTGCTCACATCTGTAGTGAAAGACACCAAGGAAGTAGTGGACTCAATGACTGATTCAATGTTTGCTGCTTTAAAATTATTTATTTTTTGCTGCATTTAAAGCAGACCTAAATCCACCACACACACTGGTGAGTTACACACCCCCTCCCAAAGGAATCTGACATCAGGTGTCCAGATGTTTCTGCAGCAGGTTTGGGGAAGTCAACAAAAATGAAAGATTTCAGGGGGTGTTAAATCTGCTGTAAATAAAATAAAAAAAAAGGTAATTTCAAGAATACATTTTCTGGTTGTGAACACAGCTGAAGAATCTGCTTTTGCTGCTCAGAAAGTCACCAGATAAACATGACAATCAGTGCTGCAGATGGAGTTGTGAGTCATTTAAAAGGCAGGAAGAAATAATGAACTATATTCAGCTTTAGTCCTGATTCGATATTTTCTATTTTGTCTAATTACATCTGCTTAAAATCTGAATATTTTTATGTGGAAAGAGATGGATGCACATAATTCTGACATGATTTTTAGGCTCTAACACCTATGAGGAGGCTGCAGCTTATGTGCAGTGCCAGTTCGAGGACCTGAACAAGAGAAAGGACACCAAGGAGATCTACACCCATTTCACATGTGCCACCGACACCAAGAACGTGCAGTTTGTGTTTGACGCCGTCACCGACGTCATCATCAAGAACAACCTGAAGGATTGTGGCCTTTTCTAAAAGGTATCCATCCCGGTTTTATGCACCAGCTGCACGGCTCTGATCACACTGATCACGTTGTGTTTTTATGTTCAGGCAGCCCAACGGTCAGCTTACACACCGACTTTATCCAAGTGAAGTCTGAGTGGAGGAGCCTTTGTGGACCCTGCTGAGAAAGTCACCTTTAACCTCTTATTAACTTATGTTCATCTCTAAAAGTTTTACAGACCGTGTGTAGAGAAAAACATTTTGTGTAAAATATTTGTACAACAGTCTATGGCCAGGAATTTTTAGGAGTTTTTAAAATGTGTTTTACCTTATCATTATTTTTATTTTTTATATATATAAATAAAAAAAAGGGGGGCCTTTTTTTTTGTCCGTAAATGAACACTTGTTTGTAGTTGTTCTTGCTTTGCATGCTTTAGTTATTGCTTGTTTTTTGTTATTTTAAGGATTTAGGTTAATCCCGTTGCCACCGACCATCTTTCCAAAAGTCCACTAATTTCATTCAATCTGTTTAATTTTTGTCTAATTTTGTCTCCTTGTTCAACAAAAACAAGCAAGACCAGGTCACACCGCAGACCAATTCACTCTGACGCTGACAAACTGTGAGCTGTGTGTGTGTGTGTGTGTGTGTGTGTGTGTGTGTGTGTGTGTGTGTGTTCTGTGAGAGAGTGCATTGTTTCAATTGAAGCCAAATGCTGGTTAGAGTGATTGTGTGTGTCTGGGTGTGTGAACGTGAGCACAATATAAACAAAGGGACTTTTATTCCTCTACTTGTCATCCTCTTTCAAAGTTTTATTTTTCTAATCAACCAAAAACGAAGCTAACTGTCCGTAGTGAAGGCACAATGTGGCTGCTACAAGCATTCCTCAGTAGAAAATGAAGGAAGGAAGCTTTGAGAAGAGGATGGCCGATGGTGGCCTTGTAGCGGATGTGTCCGTGTGTAGATCTGTGTTCGGTGCATTTAGACAGACAGCCGGATGAGTTCAAGTGCACTGTTATTGATTAGAACCTGTGATGGTTTCAAGTCGCATATCTGCCCATCAGAACCCCCCACCACCTTCCCATTGTTTCCAGTGGATGGGGACATTAGTGGACTAACCTCCATGATTTTGCTAATAAAAGGGTTGTCGTGGTGAAACCGTGGCAACTTGCACAACAGAGCTGTCTCGTCTTTGTGTGTGTTTTAGTGACATTTGCTACAAAAAACAGCTGAAATTCTCAACTAATACATTCATAAAGTTAATGTCCCATAGTCATCATCGCACACTGGTGAAATGTCATCTCCATCTTTTACTCATCCCTGTGTGGTGTGAGCTGCAGCAGTGGATGCACTCCGGAACTATTTGGTGGTTTAACCTCCAATCCATCCCCTTAAAGCCGAGTGCCAAGCAAGGAGGCATTGAGTCCCATTTTAAACAAGTCTTTGTTATGACCGCACCCTAATTTCCCAATCCCAGTGTGGAAACTCGTACCACTAGGCCACTGAGAAGGTTCATCTTCCAAATTAGTTTAATTTGTTAAGTGAGTTGTAGCATTCAGTCTATTCAGTCTAGTTTAAAATAAAATAAAAACTTTGTAGGTTTGAAACCGGTTTTCAACTAGGAACAATCTCATTTGTGGCACCTTTGAGCCAATTACAGTGAAATTATTTGTTCATGTAAGATGATGCGTCCTTTCTTTCTCCTGCATCTGTTGCCAAGTGAAATGCCAGTGACAGCTGAGCTCACAGAAGTAGTGAAGAAGATGACACGGATACTCAATCAGAATAGTTTATTCTATATTATTATGTTAAAAGTACTATCAGTGTTCCAATTTGAGGCTATGTCCTTTTAATTGATTTGTGCTTTTATCTCTCTCTCTCTCTCTCTCTCTCTCTCTCTCTCTCTCACTCTCTCACTCTCTCACTCTCTCTCTCTCTCTCTCTCTCTCTCTCAGTTAGTTCCACTTAATTCTAAGGAAATTAAAACAGAACCACAAAGAAAAACCCAGGTAACAGGAGAAAAAAAATGTACTTGGAGATTTCTTTAATTTGTGTGGAAACTTAGAGTTAGATATTTCCATTTATCCTTATGAAGTCTGTATTTTAAGAAAACTCTGGTGAAACCTCATTTATGCAGATTACTGCCATATTCTACAGACTGTGTGTGGTGTTAAATATGTGTGTGAATGAGTAAAAACAATAAACACACAAAAATACATAATTTTATTCACTTGAAATAAAATAACCACTGATGTTGTTTTTTATATTCTTTTAAATAATTAAATAGGCTTTTTATTCATTTGTGTTAACGAGTTCTGCAGTGAATGTCTGCCTCTAGTGGTCATGATGTGTAACTACATGTAATGATTAAACCTAATGGTTACTGTGGTCATAAAGAAGAAAACGGAGTCAAATCTAATTACTAGTTTTAATCTAATCAACATAGATTATTTCTTAAATGATATTCTGACCTGTCATGTGCAACCCATTGAAAAAAACTAAACTAATTAGCTTGGAGGTAGAATGAGAAAATGAATATTTGGCTGTAGTGATTAAAAAAAAATCCTTTCCTGCATCCATGAGCTGATCAAAGGAATTAGTTGGGATTATTAGCACAACTGTCAGAACACTAGCATTATTTGTTTTATATTTTAAAGACGCCGAAATGAGCACAACTAAAAGGAGCCAAAGATAAATTCAGCTTTGTTTTCCGTAAAGCTGAGAGGAATCATATTTATTAGGGGGAAGTATTGTGTGATTTAAAAGTTAATTGCAAAGTAATTTAGCTAATCTCTAAAGCCCCTCCAGCTGGATCAAACTGCGAGTTTGTAGCTCCTTCATAATGAAAGGTGTGAGTTTGAGTGGGGCTGTGGATGAGGATGGATTTTGTGATTGGATCTAACGTCTGCAGCTGAAAATCAAAGTGAACTCCATCTCTAAAGAAACACCTGTCTCTAAACACAACAATGAGGTAAATGTGTTTTAGAAATAAGAATGGTTTGAGAAAGATTTACATGCACAGTAAGAAAACACACTATGGCATGTTGCATCAAAATAACAAAAGAGCTCCTAAATTCTTGTTCCTGATTGGATTATCAGTAATCTCTCTTTGAATCTTCACATTTCTGTCCAAATTTCCTGTCGGAGCATCTACATAATTGCCATTATTATAAAAAAACCAAAAACAAATTATAGCTGTTTCAATGATACAAAAACAATTAGAGCAGCTTGAAACTGTGTTTTTGAGCTGCATGTGGCATGGCTGATTGCATGTAGCTGACAGTGATACAGAGACAGGTCTGTGAAAGCTACTCTCTGCTAGATTACAGTTTCCTCCAGAGTCTGGTGTGGTTTGGAGTCGAGCTGGATCTTGTGCAGGTACCCCGCCATCACAAGCACCTCTCTATAATTAAATCTCATTGTGAGCTTTGAGGAAAAAGCCATCGTGATTTACATGCCAATTCCCTAAAGCCATTGAGTCCAATTAACTTTTTCTCAGTGTGTGAGTGAAGCAGATTTTTAACTGCTGCTTCAGTCTCTTGGTTTCACACTGATGCCACAGTTTCATCAGGTTTATTCCAAAACCTTGCTTCCGTTTCAGAAGATATTAGACTGTAGCTGGGGCTGTTTTCTCTTGTTTGGATGTGTGAGGGTTTTAAAAAAAACATGCAAAAATCACGAGTCTGTTCCCCCAGTGAGTGGGAGAGCCAGAGCCAAGGTGACTCGACTCCTTCTTCCCTTTGCAGGGCAATAAAAACAACTTAGTGTGCATTTCTACCCCAACAACAAAACCACGAAGTAGAGTCGAGGCTGTGCTGTAAATCCATATAAGCTCTATTAAAATCCCCCCTCAGAGTGCACAGCCTGCCTCGTGTTATTGTATTTTTCTCCTTCTGTTGTTTGGCGTTGTGCTTTAGGATGTTCATTACTTTCTGTCTATAATGATGATATAAAGTAATCTCCTCATCTTTCCTCTTCTGCTCCCAGCTGGTGTGCACGAACAGAGTCACGAATGTCTTTTCAGAAGTCGGTGGATTCCTCTGGGGATCGCTTTGTTGTGTAAAACTAAACAACTGCAATTTATATTCAGATTATAATTTTGTGCAAAAATAAAAGAGTTAATTGCTTCAGACTTCATCTACAACCAGAAAACACACTAATCCGCTGCTATCGAGGTTTTTCTTTTTCACACTGAAACAGCTGTTCCACTTTTGCATCCTGTCAAGAGAAAATCTGAAAATGCTGAAAGTGGCTCTAAATTTAGTCATTTGCACCTCAAAGCTTTTCTTTCTGTCTTTGTTCTTCTGTCAGACTTCCGAGGAAGGTCCAAGGCACAAAAATAATCTGAAATGGATATGGATACACACACACACACACACACACACACACACACACACACACACACAAAGTGAATCACTCATCATGCAACAAAAATGCATTTTACACAACAAGAATAAAGTAGTGTGCCAGATTTGTATTTTCTTTGGCATCATGGGCTAGTTGAATCATCTAACCAGTAACTTTATCTGGTTTTGAGGGGAATTCTGCAGATTCTATTGATGCATCATAATGTTGCAGTCTTGACATCAACCAGCAGAGGGATAAATTCATAAATCAGGATTCATTTCCTCTCTGGGGGTGTAATCTCCTAATCCAGCCAGTTTTCTGGATTACATTCTGGCCATTTTTCACTGCAGTGGTTATGCTAGAATCTAGAATAATCTAGACCATAATCTAGAATAAACAGATGATAACCTAAACTGGATTAATCTAGAATCTAGATTAATCCAGTTTGGGTTATCATCTGTTTATGATTAGTGTTAAAAATGTTTGTGTTTTCCTGAACGTTCAGTGTGACCTACATGACAGCAGAGCAAACTGACGGTCTAAGTGAATCCACTGCTCTTCATGGATTATTCACTGGATTCAGATAAGGCTGAGTACGCTGAAGTTGCAGGGACGAAAACAGAAAAACAGAAACACACGTGTGTTCTATAAACACACTGAGCGGGCTGTGGGTGTGAAATCCTCTATAGAGTTAGATGAGCCACTCTTGATTTTCTTTTTTGCCTTGAATGTGAAAAGAAACTTTACTTCAGCCTCTTCATAAAACCACACAGCCATGAAAAAGTAACATGGACAAAAGGATTTGTCAATCTCTGTTGGACTTTTGATTTATGTCATGAGAGCAATTGCGTAACCATGACCGGCGAAGGCGGGGAGCATTTTTTAAATCTAGGAGGACAAATTCTGGGTGTGATCGTGTACAGATTTACAACGAGCAACAACATCAGCCCATGTTCAGAATTTGGGTTAAACAGGAAACCAGAGGAAATAAAGACTGCCATTATAAATTTAAAACTACACCACAACAAAAAGACAAATTAAATTAGACAGTTATTCTATAAATATTAACTGTAAATGTCACAAAATATCAGATCTTTTAATTACTTTGTGTTAAGCACTCTTTGAAAAACCTTAGTTGGGAGAAACAGCGATTAGCTCTGATTAAACAGACAAGTTGTCTATAAAGCTTCATAAATAAGAAGGAAGGAGTAAAAACATAATTGCATTATATGGGTGCACAACTGTAGCTGATGTTTATTATTTAAAGGCACAGTGTATAAAAACATTTGACTCTTTAGCGCCATGCAGTTCAGAGAAGGTTTTGCAGCTACGGTAGCCCATACCAATCAAAAAGGCTGTATGTCAACAATTTCTAGCTTTCCCTTCCGCGATCAGGTCGGTTTTTTATAGATAGAATGAGTTTGAGTATGATGGTTTACCAATCTAGACTAGCCCACATTAAATATCTATTAATATATATCGAGTAAATAAATAAACATTTTAAATAATTAAGGTTACATTCACCAGTTCAGGAGGAAACAAACAAGTTCTGCTGGGCCACTTGACAAGCGCATAGGTGAATCACACATGGAAGGGGGCTGGTGGAAGCCAGAGAGAGATATGAGTCCGTTTTTAAGTGGGTCTCGGAGAGCAGCAGTGGAGATGGAAAAGACAACACTGGCCATCAGTTAGCTGCTAGCTAACAGAGGAAGGCTGGAGCGTGTTAGGGGAGAGACGGCGGGCTCAAGAAAGCCCTCCCTCTTCCAGCATTTTACTTATTGAAAAACTAGTAATAATAATAATAATATATTTGATTTATAAAGCACTTTACATTTGAAACAAATCTCAAAGTGCGACAAAGTTAATTTAACCCGAAAGCTCCGGTAAAAAGATAAGTTTTAAGACCAGATTTAAAAGCACCAATAGTCTGTGGTATCCTCAGATGCCCTGGGAGGGAATTCCAAAGTCTGGGTGCAGCTGAGCAAAAAGCGCAATCTCCCATGGTGCGAAGTTTAGTCTTTGGAGTTTTCAAAAGATGTACTGATGCAGAGCGGAGGTTGCGTGTGGACGTCTGTGAAAACAGAAGTTCTTTAAGGTGTGTGTGTGTGTGTGCGTGGGTGGGTGGGTGTGGGGGGGGGGCATCAGTACACTGGTGGGTCAGAAGGGCAACCTTGTAATCAATAGATGAAACAGGGAGCCAGTGAAGAGATTCAAGAATGGGCGTAATATGGTCATTTGCGTCCTCTCATCCTGAACTAGTAAGTCTTGCTGTGATGACCTAAGTGCGCATGATGGGCTGTAGGGGGTGAGTAACTCAGACAGATAGCTAGGAGCACTGCCCTGCAGAGAATTCAAAACAGAAACAAGTATCTTGAACCTGACTCGGAAAGATACTGGAAACCAGTGCAGATTGGCCAAAACAAGCGTGATGTGTTCCTGCTTTCTGGTGCCGGTCAGGAATCCAGCAGCAGCATTTTGAGCAAGCTGGAGCCGAGCAAGTGCATTCTTGCTAACTCCCGAGTAAAGGGAGTTGCAATAATCGAGCTAAGAAGTAATGAATGCATGGACTGTCTCTAGGTGGGCTTGCAACTCTAGAGGCTTGATCCAGGATAGGCAGTGAAGATGAAAAAAGCAAGAGCGTACCATTCCATTGATGTGAGTCTCTAGGTTTAGGGACGCATCCAACTTCACACCCAGATCAGTGACTAGCTCCTCCTTAAAGGAGGCCAGTGAGGAGAGATCAACTTCTTGCTTAATGACACAGCTAGCACTGGTACTAAAAACAATTGCTTCTGTTTTACCCTCATTGAACTTAAGAAGCTAGAGGCCATCCATGCTCTTACTTCATCTAGGCAATCCAGGAGAAGGTTGACTGAGCCTGTGGAACCCTGTCTCAAGGAAAAATAGATTTGGCAATCATCAGCGTAAAGATGGAAATTGACCTGGTGCTTCCAAAAAATTGAACCAAGGGGCAGCAGATAGAGAACAACAATGGGCCCAGAACAGACCCTTGAGGAACCCCATAAGAGCGGCTTGCACAGGTTAAAAAATAGTTGTTGCCGAGCTTCATGAAGAAGCTTAACCACTTAGAGGCAAAATATAAGAATATTTTCCAACCTTTTTAAAATAGAGGTCTAATTCTGTTTGAGTATTTATTGTTAACATATATATTTCTCACTGAAGAAGTTCTGTTTTCTTTGACATGTTTTGTCTAAAGTGGTTTATTTTTCCTGTTTCTTTCTTTTGATGAGCTTTAAACTAGCAACTTCCCACTAGGATTATTATGTAGTTGTCAATATTAATTAATAGTCACAAAATTGGTGTTGTAGAAGTTTTGGAAATGTTAAAAATGTACTACTTTTTTTTTCTTTATGTGACTTTTATTCTGATGTGTGATATGGAGCTGACCTGCAGCATGAACAAATTTTAATACCAAGGGTCTTTATTTGTTAAATAAATGATAAAGTTGTATGATAAATAACATAAACTTGCATGCCCGTGCATTGACTATATACACTTTTGTGACAATAACTCACTCAAAAAGGCTTCTGGGGCCATGGACATAGTTTTCCCTTTAGAAGGGGGAAGGGGGGGGGGGGGGGGGATATTTACAGTATGTTCTAATGGGAAACGGGCTTCAACAGAAAACAGTTGTTTTCTGCTTGGTCCTAGAGCTCAACCACTGTCTATATAATATAGCTTTATATTGTTTTTGGATGGTAAAAAGTGCAGGAGTCAAAACCTGACTTTGGAAAAAGTGTGTGTGTGTGTGTGTGTGTGTGTGTGTGGGGGGGGGGGGGGCATGTCCCCCCGAAAATTATGTCCATGTCTGGGGCCCCTTGGTTAATAAAATATTACTAGAAGTAATGTAAAGTCATCGAGTTTTGCCTGTTTTTGGAATTAAATAAGTAATATGAAGTTTATTTTTCCTGTCACGCAGAGCAAACTGTTGCTCGACCTGCATGTCACCTCCTGAGTGATCACGGAGCCCGAGGAAGCGCCACTGGCAGTGTAGTAAAAGAAGCGCCCCTCCTCTCCATCGCTTCACGCCGAACCAGAGCCATTCATCTCTCCCCTCCTTCAGGCTTCACATCCGGGTCATCCGCCAGGATCTGTCTCCTGCGTCGGTGTCTGACAGAGTAGAACTGTTTCTTCGGCCGCCGCGCCGTACTGCAGCTCTCTGCCGGACCGCTCGGCTCGCAGAGCGGACACTGCGCTTAGCGTGCACCGGTGATGATGGAGCCCGGAGCGCCGTGAAGCTGCAGCCGCTCGCACAAAGGCAGGGATGAGTCGGTAGGAGGCTCCTTGTATGGGTTAGCCCGTGGTGATCCAATTCGCCTAAAACGATGTCGAAGAGCCTCAAGAAGAAAAACCACTGGACCAACAAAGTCCACGAAGCGGTGATAAGCCGGGGGAAGGAAGGGGAGCTGGGGTTCGAGCTGAAGGGGGGCGCGGAGAACGGCCAGTTCCCCTACTTCGGCGAGGTGAAGCAGGGGAAGGGACTGATCCAGAACGGAAAACTGGCTCAAGATGAGCTGCTGCTGGAGGTCAACGACATGCCAGTGGCCGGGCTCACCACCCGGGACGTGCTGGCCGTGATTAAACACTGCAAAGACCCGGTGCGCTTCAAATGTGTCAAACAAGGTGAGATGTTTGAGGGAAGGGGCGCAGGAGGAGCGCACCGCCGCGCACATTCCTATCTCTCTCTCTCTCTCTCTCTCTCTCTCTCTCTCTCTCTCTCTCTCTCTCTCTCTCTCTCTCTCTCTCTCTCTCTCTCTCTCTCTCTCTCTCTCTCTCTGTAATTTTCTGCATGTGCATGTGTGATTAAGATGCAGGCTAATGTGTGCACTCATCTGTCAGTCTGCCGTGGACGCGTGGACACGCACGGAGACGCGCCCGGGCCTGTTTGTTGGTGACGTGATGATTGGGTCTGATCGCATCCGTTTGTTTACCACAATATCTCAGCCTGGATGTGGTGTGTCTTCACAGGCATGATGATCACCACCAAAAAAACCTGCGAGTTTCTGTGCTCTGGACAGGCCTGGTATGTAAGTCACACCAGAACCTGCAGCCTCTGGCTTACTGCACACATAAACGATCAATTTCTCCTCTTGGTGTTGCAATCTTTCTTCTTTTTGTGTTGTTATTGTGGCCTCGTGCAGCTGAAGGTTTGTTTCTGAGCTGAAAGCGTGGGTTTGCAGAGCTCACTGAGTGACCTGCTTCTGTCAGCCAGTGTAAAAGCAGCACATTACATAAAAGTAACAGTGGAGGAGATATTTATCATTCATCACACCCTCTGACACTCAGTTAAAAGTCACAATAAGTGGCTAAAAAGGGAGGGGGCATTCTCTAAATAAAGCTTGTCTCTGGGACGGAGCAAAACAAGAGATTCAGCCAGGTTTTAAAAAAACGTATTTCTGGACGCTGCTGAGTTTGCTCACAGAGGATCCACACAGATCCTCGCCTGATGCATGCCTCTCAATCTCCCCATGCAGGCAGATTGATTACTGAGCTCGAGCTGCTGACTGAATAGAAGCATGGTGTTGTGACGTGCCAGGGGTGAGGCACTAATGTATATGTAATGGACAGGTCTATTCTGCTCTTTCTCTTATCCATATAAACATGAGTCTGAGTGTTGAACCACCCACATCCCTGAGAGCGTCCTTGAATACTCGGCTGTTTGTGCACAGCTTGCTGTCCTCTTCATCGTGGATTTTCTGTTCTAGCCCCCCTTCTCTGTCATATTTGACTTGCATCCAGTGGAGGGTAGAGTGTATTTATGGCGGACATCTGCTGACACACTCCCGGCCCACTGAGGAATCATCTAGAAGTGGTTGAGTTGAACAGAGGCAGTTTCTTTAAAAAAAGAAAAAAGCAAGAGATGAATGTCCAGAGTACACAATCCTATCTCACTGCCTGTGCAAACACGAACATTAAAGAGGCTATTTTCAGTCTCGGGACATTGTAGGAAATCAACTTCTGTTCCAGAGGAAGCGCAGCAGTCTGGTGGACCTCCAGAGCGAATCCACAACCGTGTCCTCCTCTCATCAGAGAAATAAACCGTGTATAAAATCACAGTTTCACTATTCAGGTGCTCTAACAAAAACAGCAGGAGGCTGCTTTGGAAGTAAAATAACCATGTGCACCTATTTTTTATATAAAAACAGAAAATCTGGAACAAACATGTTTATCTTCAGAGTGGCTGTACCCTTTAGTATTGCTTTAACAGGATGTGTGATGATGACGAGCGCTCTTCCTCACAAGGAGCAGATGTGTGTTGTTGTGAGGATGCATTAAGTCGGTTTCTGATATCATAGCTGCATAAATGGCTTTTAAAGTCCATCAGTCACACACACACACACACACACACACACACACACACACACACACACACACACACACACACACACACACACACACACACACACACACACACACACACACACACACAATTTGGCCTGCACATGATTATTTGAATGCAGATTTGCAAAGACAAAAAAGGAGTTTGAGTACACATCTTAAGAGGGTTGTTATTTATCTCCTGCTCTCTCTCTCTCTGTGTGTGTGTGTGTGTGTGTGTGTGTGTGTGTGTGTGTGTGCGCGCGTGTTTGCTTCAAGTGTTTTAGATCTCTTTCTAGATGTAAACTAATGGCAGCAACATCGCCAGATAATCAAATCAAAACAAAAGCGTGTCTTCCTTTGAACCCTCCCCTTTACAGTCAGTTTACAGTTTTTCACATCTTAAGTTGCTGTGATGGTTGTATAGCTGTTCTTAAGAGACATATAGTTAAAATAATTCTTGTAAATGAGGCTTGATAATGAGTCATCTTGTATCTCTGTTGGATTACTTGTGAGAAAGCAGATCTCTCAGCAGTGTTTGTCTCTTCATCAGCAGCAGCGTGAAGCACAGTGCAAACGGCTGCTCGGTTCAGCCAAGCAGATTTCTAGAAGTGTCATGAAGATCATAGCTGCAGAGAGGTGTTAGAACAGTATGGGGAGAAGCGTGAATAAGTGTGTGTGTGTGTGGTGAGAAGTAGAGGTGGAGTTTTAAGCCAAGTCTATTGTAAAGCTGTGAGACAAGACACATGGTGAAATGGATGAAATTCATACATCAGATTTGTTCTGGCTAGTTCAGGAACATTGTTTTTACTCTTCACATCTAAATAAATAGATTTTTATGTGGTTGCACAAGAGACACAGAGAGAAATGTGGCGTGATATTGTTGCCTTATAATAAGAAACCTTTTGGTTTGGTTTAGTTTTCATGTTCTCATGCATCTGTGGATCTCTCTGCATTCTTTAGCCTCGTCTAAAATCCCAAAATGATTCATGGTGTTTAACTATTATGTGTCACCAGAAGATGAAGGAATGAATGGTGGATCAATTGTTTTGTTCAACCTATTTCCCATTAGCAAAGGCAGCTTTAAGAAATGTCCAACGCATTAATAAGAACTGGTCTGATGAGTCCAGATGGACTCGGTTCCAGAGTGATGGGTGCATCAGGGTAAGAAGAGAGGCAGATGAAGTGATGCTCCCATCATGCCTAGTGCCTACTGTACAAGCCTGTGGGGGCAGTGCCATGATCTGGGGTTGCTGCAGTTGGTCAGGTCTAGGTTTAACAACAGGAAGTGCTCCAAGAATGAGGTCAGCTGACCACCTGAATATAGGGAACCTTAGTCGTGCCCATCTACTTTCAGACCATGGGCCCCCAAAGAACAAAAAAAAAAAAACTAAATGGGGCAATAAAAGTTAGTTTTAAATCCTGTCCATTATGAGCCATGGATTTCACATGTGAGGCCTGCAAATTGTAATGTGCAGATGATTTGGTCTTGTTGGCTTCATCAGAACGTGATCTCCAGCTGTTACCAGAGCGGTTCACACCCGAAGGTGAAGCAGCTGGGATGAGAATCAGCTCATCTAAATCTGAAACTATGGTCTTGAGTCGGAAAAGGGTAGAATGCCTTCTCCGGGTCGGGGAGGAGGTCCTGCCTTAAGTGGAGGAGTTTAAGTATCTCGGGGTCTTGTTCACGGGTAAGGGAAAGATCGACAGGTGGATTGGTGCTGCATCTGCAGTGATGCAGTGATGAGGCGTTGTACCGATCTGTAGTGGTGAAGAGAGAACTGAGCCAGAAGATTAAGCTCTCAATTTACCGGTCAATCTACGTTCCTACCCTCACCTATGGTCACGAGCTTTGGGTAGTGACCGAAAAGGGGAGGTTAGGGCCTCTTTCAAAGTATGTCTGAAAATGCATTTGTATTCTCTGGCATTTTAGAAATAACTGAGTGGCTGCAGATTTCTCTAAACTCTCTTAATTGTAAAATTTTTACCTGTGATTTTTCATTGTTGTTTTATAATTTTTAAATATGTGCTAGATATTCTGTTTAAGTTGCCTGTAGTTTAAATATTTTATATAGCTTTGTTGGCTTTTACGTATTGTATTTTTATTACTATTACTGTTGTGCAGCACTTTGGGGTAACGATGTTGCCGTTTAAATGTGCTATAGAAATAAAGATCGACTTGACTTGACTCCCTGCTTAGGCCACTGCCTCTGTGATCTGACCCAGGATAAGCGGCGGAAAATGGATGGATGGAAATAAATCTTGTCACACTGCAGAAGCTTATTGAAACAATGTCACAGGGAATGTGTGCCATAATCAAGCCCCCACAATGCGGCTCTAAAATTGGTCTCAACCCGGAAGTACCAAAAATTGCAGTTCCACCCTCATCCACTGGGGGCTGGTGTCAGAAACGAGCAAATCCTCATTGACTCCCATGTTAAAAATACCAATTTCACAGCAGAAATAAACTTGTTTACAGCCTGGTACCAAAACATGTTTTTTTGTTTAAATTATCTAGTTTACACTCATGACAACTCTGAGGAGGGTGAATTTTTTTCTCACTCTTCTGTTTAAGTGTATTAAAAGCCTAAAATTCTGTATAATTAATGAGTATCAGACCCACGTGACCACAGAGATAGCTCCATGGAAAGGCCTCAGTAGAGCCTCAGTCTGGCTTGGAAACGGCTCCGGGATTTTGAGTCTCTGTGTTTGTGTATTCTTTTTTGGATATTTTTGTGCAATTGTTGGACAAAATGACTTGCTGTGGCATTAATTGCACTAATAGAGTGTCCAAGGAGTCTCCATCCGGCGTATCTCTGACTCAGAAGCTCTGGTGTTGTGCACAGTTAACTCCATCTGTAGCTAGGTTGCTACCTCCGTTAGCTTAGCTCCCACCTCCGCATTAGCTTGTAGCTAGTTCAACCAGGTGTTGTCAGTTGATCCCAGCCTTACAGCCCCACCCTCAGTTCCACCTCCCTTCCCTTTTATGGAATTGTCTGGGCTTGACGGAACCTGTGACACGGTCAAAATGGCGGTGGTGGGCACCTCCCATTTTAGTACAAAAACGTGTTATTGGAGGCTATGGAAACCCATTGTCCATATATGTATGTTGATGGCCATAATCAAAGCTAAAGGTGATCCAATGAAATATTAGAGTGTGTGACCTTTGTTTTGATGGCGACTTTTGTTTCGGCTGGGCAATGTAGATAACGCATTTCATACAAAGGCAATTCAACGTGCTTTTCAGGTGCTTTTATGTCAAATTTGTTTAACGTTTAGCTGTGTTGGTCTGATAAAATGAAAAA